CCGCAATATGTGTTGTTTGTTTGCATTATGTTTATTTACCGATAACTACAACTGAACATAGCGTAAGCTACCACCAAAGTCCTAATCCATCGGTACCACAGCTGCAGGCTTGGAGAAGACAACGCAGCGGCCGTAATAAGTACTGCTACAGCAGGTTTCGTTTGACATTCCGGGGCTTTACCGGATGTTGTAAAAGGGGCATGTAGTTTTTTTTATGTAGAGGTTCGGATAGATTAATTATAGCGTGGTTATAACAAAAAGCGCAATTGCACGAAGATACCAACACTTATTCTTCCGGTCTCCAAAGTACTGTCAGCAGCAAATGCACCCTGAAAGAGTGTAATGTCCATGTCCCATGCGAGGTTTATTGAATAGATATAGAGTCCTGTACTTTGGCTAAGAGTCACTTGTTCCTTAAGGTAGGTTTAACTCCAAATCCTGTACCCCTCAGACCTCTAAAGCCCTAGCGGCCCGAGTGGCCCTCACGGCCCAAAGCCCTGAAGCCTAAACACTAAACTTCCCGAACCTGAAGGACTTCATTGGGTACCGTGCTTCATGTCATTTGCTGAGGGTCTAGGGTTTATGACTAGCGGTTTGGGGCTTCGAGTTTGAGCCTAGCCGTTTAGATTCAGAGATTTTGGGGTTTGGGTGTCGGGGATTCAGGCCTTTTGACTTTGGGCCAGTGGGGATTGGAACTGAGTAAGCGGGCCCTAATTCATTTGAGATTGTGGGTATCCCCATCGGGTTGACCCTACCTAATAGTATGGCATGCGGGTCCACAAGGCTTTCTATGCAAAGTTTGGTTTCGCATACTAGTGCACACGCACATGAGTGAATGCTTGTGTGTGCTTGAAGCCTCAACCCTAAACCTAACCCTGAAACCTTTTTGATGTGCTGCCGCTTTAGGGTGCTGAGTCATCAAGTCACCCAGCATTGCAGCGGATGTAATTGGCTATGAAATCTGAGCTGTAGTCCACTGTCCAACAAGTACCGTGCAATGCGGGCTCGTCCTGGCTAAGTAACTAGGAGGGAAAACAAGGAGCCCAAAAAAATGACCTAAGCCCTGAACCCTAAACCCCAAAGCCCCGAAGCCAGAAACCCCAAACACAAGCCCCAAACGTGTTGATGCACGGCTCGAAGAGAAATTTCACCCTCGGAGACAGAGGTCCCTAAGCCCTTAATGAACTTGACTCAAAGGGGAAAAGAAGGGACCCTTGATTGGGATCCGTGCATTATAACGAGCTATAGAATGGGTATAGAATGGCTCTATTAAGGTTTTTTACCTAGGGGTCCTTATGAAGGGCCCCTCCGTATATTTTTGGATTGACAAAGAAAGGGATTCGGGGGTATATTATGCCATAAAAATCACGGTTCCGAAACCCTAGGTGAAATTAGTATAGTGGCCTGAATGAATAAAAGGGATTAGGGGTTTACTTTACCATAACCAGATAGGATCTATATGGGGGGATTCCTTTCATTGTATCACCTGAAGTTCGTGTGCCCTCGCCAACACCCTCACCTCTCTAAATTGTTTTGAGTCTAGATTCTTGCAACGCCCAACGAAATCTGCATATCACGACCACCCCGTTTCTGCAAGGAGACAACAAAGTACAGAGGCACTTATCATTAATCCCTGTTTAGGTGTACAGTTTAGGGTAAACCGTGTCGCACAAGCAGTCTGAAGACATGAGAAAGGAGCTTGTCGTGGGCATTATCGAGCCGCGGCCAGAAGAGCTGGCGAAGATGGACGTTGCTGGGCCGACACAGAGGGGTCCCTTCATGGAATGGGCTTTGGGATGCTATACTGCACGCTGAGTGAGGAGATGCGGTTGATGATACAAATCTTGCATTACCCATCATAAGGAATATGTCATACTAATTCCAATAGTTTAAGGTCCTTAAGGTAATGCAGGATTTATATCATTAGCAATATTTTTTGTCATGTTCCATTTTTCCCTTTAGTTACGTCTTTTGACAAAGGGCTCAGGAGTTCGGGGCGGGGTTCAAAGCTTTATGGCTTCGGGGCTTCGAGGGTCCAGGGCCACCGGGGCATTGGGCTCCGAAGGACACTGCAGATTCCGCACTGAGCACGCGCTTAACATGGTTGAGGCCACCCTGAACCCTCAACCGATATATGGGGTTTTATTGTGTTCAGTAGTACATCTGATTCCGCTTTTCCGGATTGCTACGGGATCATTGGATGTTTATGGGGTTTTATTGGAGGCTGATACGATTTAGCATTCATGTTGTACAGGCTTTAGGCTTCAGTGCTTACGGTTTAAGGTTTTGTTCGCTGGCACACAATCCATGCCCATGCTGAAAAAGGGTTTTGCTGTTTAGGAGTCAGCTTAGCTTGTTCGAACCACCGGGGCAGGGTCACAATGTAGATACTGGGCCAAAGATGAGGAGACTCGACAAAGAAGCTAAGGGCAGTATTTCCCCAAGCCCTGCCAAGCGAGAAGACCCTATTCCTAAATCCGAATTCCCAAACGCTGCTTCCTGAACCATAAACCCTAAACCCTAAACCTAACCCTGAAACCTTTTTGATGTGCTGCCGCTTTAGGGTGCTGAGTCATCAAGTCACCCAGCATTGCAGCGGATGTAATTGGCTATGAAATCTGAGCTGTAGTCCACTGTCCAACAAGTACCGTGCAATGCGGGCTCGTCCTGGCTAAGTAACTAGGAGGGAAAACAAGGAGCCCAAAAAAATGACCTAAGCCCTGAACCCTAAACCCCAAAGCCCCGAAGCCAGAAACCCCAAACACAAGCCCCAAACGTGTTGATGCACGGCTCGAAGAGAAATTTCACCCTCGGAGACAGAGGTCCCTAAGCCCTTAATGAACTTGACTCAAAGGGGAAAAGAAGGGACCCTTGATTGGGATCCGTGCATTATAACGAGCTATAGAATGCGTATAGAATGGCTCTATCAAGGTTTTTTACCTAGGGGTCCTTATGAAGGGCCCCTCCGTATATTTTTGGATTGACAAAGAAAGGGATTCGGGGGTATATTATGCCATAAAAATCACGGTTCCGAAACCCTAGGTGAAATTAGTATAGTGGCCTGAATGAATAAAAGGGATTAGGGGTTTACTTTACCATAACCAGATAGGATCTATATGGGGGGATTCCTTTCATTGTATCACCTGAAGTTCGTGTGCCCTCGCCAACACCCTCACCTCTCTAAATTGTTTTGAGTCTAGATTCTTGCAACGCCCAACGAAATCTGCATATCACGACCACCCCGTTTCTGCAAGGAGACAACAAAGTACAGAGGCACTTATCATTAATCCCTGTTTAGGTGTACAGTTTAGGGTAAACCGTGTCGCACAAGCAGTCTGAAGACATGAGAAAGGAGCTTGTCGTGGGCATTATCGAGCCGCGGCCAGAAGAGCTGGCGAAGATGGACGTTGCTGGGCCGACACAGAGGGGTCCCTTCATGGAATGGGCTTTGGGATGCTATACTGCACGCTGAGTGAGGAGATGCGGTTGATGATACAAATCTTGCATTACCCATCATAAGGAATATGTCATACTAATTCCAATAGTTTAAGGTCCTTAAGGTAATGCAGGATTTATATCATTAGCAATATTTTTTGTCATGTTCCATTTTTCCCTTTAGTTACGTCTTTTGACAAAGGGCTCAGGAGTTCGGGGCGGGGTTCAAAGCTTTATGGCTTCGGGGCTTCGAGGGTCCAGGGCCACCGGGGCATTGGGCTCCGAAGGACACTGCAGATTCCGCACTGAGCACGCGCTTAACATGGTTGAGGCCACCCTGAACCCTCAACCGATATATGGGGTTTTATTGTGTTCAGTAGTACATCTGATTCCGCTTTTCCGGATTGCTACGGGATCATTGGATGTTTATGGGGTTTTATTGGAGGCTGATACGATTTAGCATTCATGTTGTACAGGCTTTAGGCTTCAGTGCTTACGGTTTAAGGTTTTGTTCGCTGGCACACAATCCATGCCCATGCTGAAAAAGGGTTTTGCTGTTTAGGAGTCAGCTTAGCTTGTTCGAACCACCGGGGCAGGGTCACAATGTAGATACTGGGCCAAAGATGAGGAGACTCGGCAAAGAAGCTAAGGGCAGTATTTCCCCAAGCCCTGCCAAGCGAGAAGACCCTATTCCTAAATCCGAATTCCCAAACGCTGCTTCCTGAACCATAAACCCTAAACCCTAAACCTAACCCTGAAACCTTTTTGATGTGCTGCCGCTTTAGGGTGCTGAGTCATCAAGTCACCCAGCATTGCAGCGGATGTAATTGGCTATGAAATCTGAGCTGTAGTCCACTGTCCAACAAGTACCGTGCAATGCGGGCTCGTCCTGGCTAAGTAACTAGGAGGGAAAACAAGGAGCCCAAAAAAATGACCTAAGCCCTGAACCCTAAACCCCAAAGCCCCGAAGCCAGAAACCCCAAACACAAGCCCCAAACGTGTTGATGCACGGCTCGAAGAGAAATTTCACCCTCGGAGACAGAGGTCCCTAAGCCCTTAATGAACTTGACTCAAAGGGGAAAAGAAGGGACCCTTGATTGGGATCCGTGCATTATAACGAGCTATAGAATGGGTATAGAATGGCTCTATCAAGGTTTTTTACCTAGGGGTCCTTATGAAGGGCCCCTCCGTATATTTTTGGATTGACAAAGAAAGGGATTCGGGGGTATATTATGCCATAAAAATCACGGTTCCGAAACCCTAGGTGAAATTAGTATAGTGGCCTGAATGAATAAAAGGGATTAGGGGTTTACTTTACCATAACCAGATAGGATCTATATGGGGGGATTCCTTTCATTGTATCACCTGAAGTTCGTGTGCCCTCGCCAACACCCTCACCTCTCTAAATTGTTTTGAGTCTAGATTCTTGCAACGCCCAACGAAATCTGCATATCACGACCACCCCGTTTCTGCAAGGAGACAACAAAGTACAGAGGCACTTATCATTAATCCCTGTTTAGGTGTACAGTTTAGGGTAAACCGTGTCGCACAAGCAGTCTGAAGACATGAGAAAGGAGCTTGTCGTGGGCATTATCGAGCCGCGGCCAGAAGAGCTGGCGAAGATGGACGTTGCTGGGCCGACACAGAGGGGTCCCTTCATGGAATGGGCTTTGGGATGCTATACTGCACGCTGCGTGAGGAGATGCGGTTGATGATACAAATCTTGCATTACCCATCATAAGGAATATGTCATACTAATTCCAATAGTTTAAGGTCCTTAAGGTAATGCAGGATTTATATCATTAGCAATATTTTTTGTCATGTTCCATTTTTCCCTTTAGTTACGTCTTTTGACAAAGGGCTCAGGAGTTCGGGGCGGGGTTCAAAGCTTTATGGCTTCGGGGCTTCGAGGGTCCAGGGCCACCGGGGCATTGGGCTCCGAAGGACACTGCAGATTCCGCACTGAGCACGCGCTTAACATGGTTGAGGCCACCCTGAACCCTCAACCGATATATGGGGTTTTATTGTGTTCAGTAGTACATCTGATTCCGCTTTTCCGGATTGCTACGGGATCATTGGATGTTTATGGGGTTTTATTGGAGGCTGATACGATTTAGCATTCATGTTGTACAGGCTTTAGGCTTCAGTGCTTACGATTTAAGGTTTTGTTCGCTGGCACACAATCCATGCCCATGCTGAAAAAGGGTTTTGCTGTTTAGGAGTCAGCTTAGCTTGTTCGAACCACCGGGCAGGGTCACAATGTAGATACTGGGCCAAAGATGAGGAGACTCGGCAAAGAAGCTAAGGGCAGTATTTCCCCAAGCCCTGCCAAGCGAGAAGACCCTATTCCTAAATCCGAATTCCCAAACGCTGCTTCCTGAACCATAAACCCTAAACCCTAAACCCATTCCCAACCCCGAACCGATAGGCCCTCTACGCCAGCCATTTCACAGGGACAACTCTTAAGATGAGCCGTCTGAGATGTGCCGGGTCACAGTGGGGATGTCTCCAATGAGCTTGCTGATGCTCTGGCCTTAGTTGGTGCGCTAGGGGGTCAGAGCACTTCCCCATTTTCGGTGGACCTTTGGCACTTCTTACGAGACCAGGCTGTAGCTGCTGAGTGGTTACCGCACCTGTGTATGTCTGTCAGTCGACAGGCTGGGCTGCCCTCGATCCGAGGGCATCTCATGTCGTGTGGGCCCAGCAGGGGACCTTGTCATGATCCTGACTTCTCGATCCGACCCTTCATGCGGGCCTTCCCTGTTCTTCCTGCCCAGACCGAGACCTGCTTAGCTCAGCTGGGGGCCCCTGTTCTCCTTGCCTCTTACAATGTGCTATCGCTTTCTGACTTCGGCAGCGACAGGCAAGGCGGCTTACATGGCTCAGTTGGTCGTCCGACCTTGTTGGGCCAATCGTTCGAGCGGGCTGGTCTTCATATGATCGGGCTTCATTCAGGAAAGTCGAACGCCTTCTGGACGCATGCGGAGTGGCAAGTATGTTCGATACTCCTCCGGGTGTGATGACAGGTCATGCTTTGGTGTAGAGCTATGGGTGCACGAACAGGGCCCCTGCAGCCCGGATTCCGTGGTCGTTCTGCACGGATCCCCCACTGTGCTTGTGGCCGGTATCCACCTCGGGGACCGGCAGTATAGGGTCTTAGTTGGGCACGCACCGCATCGAGGGCATACGGAACAGGTTTGTGCAGCTTGGTGGAAGTCGACTACTGCTATCTGCCACTCCTTTACCCACGGATGTCCTTGGATTTTCCTCATCGATGCGAATTGTCGAGTGGGGAGCCGGTGCTCCGCTGCGATAGATCAGGCGGACAGTGAGGATTTCTCTGGAGCCCTTTTTCACTCGCTGCTTCTCTCCTTGGACCTCTGGCTCCCGGCCACCTTTGAGGTGTCTGCTAGCGGTCCTGGAGGCACCTTGTATCAGAAGCGTTCCCTGGCCCTCTGCCGTTCGGATTACCTGGCGCTCCCTTGGCTTTGGCGCAACGGTGGCTTTGTTTCGTGGGTGGCCCCCGAGATCACGTCGGGACACCCATGTGTCGATCACCTTGCAGTTGTTGCGCGGGGCGCGCTCCCTCAAGGCGGTGGTGCCTCTTCGGTCAAGCGTGCTGTGCGGATTGATCCTCAGGCCCTCCTGGACCCGGGTAATCGAGAGGAGATTGCCCGCATCATCCAGGATGCCCCGCGCCCAGCATGGGAGGTGGATGCGAGTGAACATGCGGCTGAGGTTGTTGATCATCTCTACACCTCTCTTTCTGCTCGCTTTCCGGTTGCCAGGCGGCGTATGCGTGCGTCTTTCCTCTCAGATTCCACCGCGGCGTTGCACCGAGCTGTTTCCTCCCTGCGGCATTCTGTGAGGCATCGGACGGCTGCCCTCCGCCTCTCGTTCTTGCGGTGTGTCTTTCTGGTATGGCGCAGCCCAGCTCGGGAGTTTTCTGAGGTCTTTTGTGGCCTGTGGCTTTGGCGGTTGCGCACTCGTTTGGGCAATGACTGTATGCTGCTGCGACGGTTTGGTGCTCAGCTACGCCAGGCTTGTCGTGAGGACAAGGCACGACATCTTATTGCCCTGTCTGATGAAATTGCGGATGCGGGCAGCCGGGAAGTGCACCGGGCCGTGCAGCGGGTTCTTCGGCCACGCAAGTTTCGGCAAGCCCCAAATGAGCCCCTTCCTCAGCTTGCGAAGCCAGATGGGTCCCTGTGCAGCACAGCTTCTGAGATCACTGACACGTGGCGAGAGCATTTCCGTGTCCTAGAAGGTGGGGTTGATGTTTCTCCTCAGTTGCTAGTGCGTCGGGTTTGGGATTCGCAGCGTCGTGTTGTCCCTCCAAACTTCATCGAGGCAGCTGAACTGCCGACGTGGATGTCGCTCGAGGCGGCCTTCCGCCATTCTGCGCCTAGGAAGGCGCCTGGACCAGATTTGCTTCCTCCCGCAATCTGCCGGCTTTTCAGCACTTCTCTTGCGGACCTTTTCTGGCCACTGCTCCTCAAAACAGTGTGCAGAATTGAGGAGCCCGCAGGGATGAAAGGCGGCGTTCTCTTTCATATTAGCAAGGGGAAGCCTGGCCTACAAAGTACGTGTGACGCGCACAGAGGGATTCTGGCGCAGTCGTGCCTGAGCAAGGCATTTCACAGGTCATTGCGCAAGCTAGTGGTGAACCACTGGGCTGATCATGCCCTGCCCCTTCAAATCGGGGGACGTGCTGGGTGTAGCGCGGTCTTTGGACACTTCTGTTCTCGCTCCGTTCTGCGTTTTGCCCACCAGCGCAGGTTTTCAGCTGCTCTACTGTTTGTCGACTTAGCAGCAGCATATTACGCTGTCATCCGCGAAACGCTGATGGGAGCCAACATGGCGGATCGGCCTCTGAGTGAAGTGGCAGGAGCGTTAGGTCTTTCGGATGAAGATTTGCAGCGCCTACGGCACTATGTGCATGAGGAGCCTGTGCTAGTTCAGCAAAATGCCAGCGAGCATTTCTTGGCCCTCACGCGAGAGCTCCACCAACAAACTTGGTTTGTCCTCTCCGCCGACTCTCGGCTAATAGAGACGCAGCGTGGCACGCGTCCGGGTGGAACACTTGCCGACGTGTTGTTCAATGTCCTTTTCGGACGAGTCCTATTGAGGAGACAGACACCAGCCATGCAGCAGTTCTTCCCCATGGTTCCCTGGGACGGGGTGCGAACACCATTCCCGAAAGATCTTACTGGGGCGCCCCTTGTCCGAGTGTCGGATGTGGTGTATGCAGATGACCTCTGCACACCGATTGTCTGTGAACGGGCAGTGCAGCTTCGGCCTGCGGTTTCTCTGGTCGCCACGGAGACGATGGATGTCCTCACGCCCCATGCTCTTCGTGCCAATCTTGGGCCCACTAAGACTGCTGCGGTTGTGGCCCCTTTGGGCGATGGCTCAAGGCAGGCGCGGCACGAGATGTTTGTCACCTTGAAGGGTCGTGTCCCTCTTTGGCCGGAAACGAAAGGATTGCTGTGGCTTGACTTGGTGCCTCGCTACCGGCACCTCGGATCTTTGGTATCCTATGACGGCCGTCTGGGTCCTGAAGTTCGGCACCGGCTTGCTCTGGCCTCGGCCGCATTTCGCGAAGGCAAGCGCAAGTTGTTTGCCTGCAAGCGTGTGCCGCTTGAGAAGCGTTCCGCCTTGATGCGCAGCCATGTGCTTTCGGTCCTCCTGGTTGGTTCCGGTAGCTGGCCCCTGCTTGACAAGAGGGATTGTGCTTCCTTCTCTTGTGGCATCATTGGTCTGTATCGCCAACTCCTTGGCCTTCGAGCCTCGGGAGACTGGCACCAGACCCGCAATCAGCTCTTGGCGCGTGTTGGCCTTCCTTCGCCTCTTGCTCTGCTTCATTGTGAACGTCTCCGCTTTTTGCGACAATTAGTGAAAGACGCTCCGGACCAAGTCTGGGCGCTCCTGGCCTGGAACGATACTTATAGAGCTGCGCTTCGAGAGGCCGGGCGCTGGTTCCTAGATGCGGCGGGGAACACGTGCAGTTTGAAACGAGCAGAGCTGTGGGATGTCGAGGTCCATCGGGTGCGCAGTGTCTTTGATGGGACGGTCCGTGAGCTGTGGGTGCCCGCCTCGCCGCCTCAGGATTCCAACGTTGCCGGTCTTGAGCACTGCTGTCTCTTATGTGGTCTTGCCTTCACCACCTTTCGGCAGTGGGGCACCCATGCACAGCGCAAGCATGGATACCGTAACCTGGCGACGCGCCTTGCTGTGGGACGTCGATGTCTCTCCTGCAACACCCTTTATGCCTCCCAAGCCAAGCTCCGATGCCATCTGATTGCAGTCCCGAAGTGCTGCTGGGCACTGCAGCTTCTGCATGGCAGTGGCCATGCCTCCCAGCCTGCTGCAGGTTCTACCGAAGGGCATTCTCAGGCTCCTGCTGTTCGCGGCCCGCGGACTCCCTTGGTTGTTTGGACGGAGGAGGAGCTCTGTCTTGAGCTCTTGTTTGCCCTTCGAGCCCTGCGCGAGGCGTCGGATCAGCAGATCTATGATCTCGTTGCCTCCTTCGTGGAACCTTTGCCTGTTCTACGAGGTACCCTCCGGCGATGGATTTCGGAACTTGAGGATGCTGCCTTGATTGCTGCTGCGGAGGATGTCCTGCTTGTTCTCTGGCCTGAGCACCTGTGCTCTGAGATTGGGGGTCGGGCCGTGTTGGTTCGCGAGGATGTTGTCTTTGACCCGGTGATCGAGCCGTGCCTCTTGCAGCGAGGGGATGCTTCTTCCCCGGTTCAGTGCCTCGGCTGCCTCGTGCCTGAGTGGGCTCGAGCCTGGGGTATTGAGGCTTTGCCTGTCAAGCAGATCTCGCTGGATTCTCTTTCCGACGCGGTGGGCCAGTGCAGTGGACTTTGTGTGACGGTCCCGCCGCCGCCTCGACACTTCCGCAGCATGCTTCAGCCTCCCTCTGTCCCTCTTCGCTCCCTTCGGGAGCAGATTCGTTGGACTTTGGATTTTCTTGCGCTGTGTCTTGAGCGTTGCTTCCTCTGGCGTGCCGGTCCTCCTGCGGATCCCTTGCCAACGGGCTTGCCTTGAGCCTTTATCCTCCTGGCTGCAACAGGCGGCTGGCGCGGGAGACGATGATGGCTCTTCTTTCTGTTTCACTCTAATTCACTGCCATGGGCACGTCGTTCTGACCTTGCGCCCTCCCAAGCAAATATATATATATATATATATATATAGCTACCACAGTATACTAATCATACTAATCTATATTAGACCTGAATACTGAATACTAAATATTAGAATTAGAATAGAATACTACTATGCTATGCTATTGTTTCTTACTCCTGCTCTTTTGCTCTGCACTTTGCTTTGGAGGCGGGAGTGGGGCGGGAGGGTCAGGAGTTGAGCTTAGGATCTGGCTTGAGGCTTTTGGGTTTACCTTTTGGGGCCCTTGCGGCTTTGGGGTTTGGGTTTGGACTTGCGCCTTTGGGGTTTGGGTTTGGAGTTTTGAGGCCTTCAAGCTCAAGGGCCACGGCCCATCCCCAAAACCTTGGCCCATCCCCAAACACATAGGACCCGAAACTCGAAACCCGAAACCTTTGAAACTTAGGCCCTTACCTGTTTTCCTCAGGCCTCTCCCGGCCCCTCCCCGAAACTTAGGCCCCTCCCCCCTGCCCGAAGCCCCCCCGCCGTGCTCCTGATGCGTCGACTTCGCCATCTACGCTGGGATGAGGCCGGGTTTAGTCAAGGGGTAATTTTGGATTTTTGGGATTTGGGGTTTAGGTTTGGGGTTTAGGTTTAGGTTAGGGTTTTTAGGCATTGGGGTTAAGTTTAGTTTCGGTTTTAGTAGTTTGGGGTTTAGGTTAGGCTAGGGTTTTAGGCTTTAGGCATCAGGGTTTAGTTTCGGGTTTAGAGAAGGTTTAGGCTGCGTCCGCCCGGACGCAGCAACTCCTTTTGCGTCCGCCCGGACGCAAGAGGTCACAATCGCGTCCGTCAGGACGCGATTGTTCCTTTGGTCACGTCCGCCAGGACGTGACCTGGTCGCGTCCGCCCGAACGCGACCTTCCTTCTCACATCCCCGGACGCTGGAAAACCCACCCTCTCCCTCTCTGCCCCTCTCCCTCCCTCCCTCTCCCCCTTCCCGCTCCCCCCTCCCCTCCCTCCCCTCCCTGCCCTCTCTCTCTCTCTCTCTCTCCCTCCCTCCGCCCTCTCCTCTCTCTCCCTCTCGCTCCCCCTTCCCTCTCCTCCCCCCTCTCCCGCCCCCTCTCCCTGCCCTCTCCCTCCACCCCTCTCTTTCCCCTTCCCTCCCTCTTTCCTGCCCCACTCCGCCCACTCACTGCCCGGCCCCTGCATTTGGCCAATCCCGTCATCCATCACACTTTTCCACCCCGCCCTCTCATTCGTTCTCATCCACCTACTTTCACTCACACTCCTCCCCACCTCATTTCATTCCTTCCCGCCACATTCATCACTCATTCCCCCCTCCCTCCCTTTCTGCTTCACTCGCTCATTCACTCCAGCATTGCATCCTTAGCCTCAGCCCCACCCCCAAACACCCTCAACCTAAGTCCTCAACCCCACCCCTGAGCTTACGCCCTACTGAGCCCCAAACCTCCCTCGAGCCCTAGACCAAGCCCTAAGCGCTAATCCCTGAACCCCTTCACCCCTAGTCCTTAATCGCCTTAAACCTTAAGCCCGCAAACCGGAGCCCTTAAATGCTGATAAGGCCTAACTCTCCCTCGGCCCTCGACCCTAACACCCGATGCCCTGGAGCTAATCCCTGAGCCCCTGAGCCCCTGAGCCCCTAGTGAGCCGTTGAACCCTGATAAGGCCACCCCAACCCTGCACCCTGCCCCTTAGGCCCTCAGCCCTCAGCCTTAAACTTTACCCGAAACCCTCTGCCCGGCCCTGCTATTCCCGCAACCCTAACCCCAGCCCTTGCCACTGCCTCAGATTCCAGGGCCATTCAGTTGCGGGAGCGGGGGTGTTGTTGTGGGAGTCTTGTTGTGGCCAATCCGTTTCAAAGGCCGGCTTATCGTCTTTCAGCATGTTTGGTTTGGATTCGGGTGGCTGAGATTGAGATTGGAGATAGTCTAGAATCAGCTGCCAGGTGAAAGGGCATCAGTCCATTTGCCAGACAACACCCTTTGAAAAAGGGTGTTGTCTGGCAAACGGACTGACACCCAAGGTGGGAGGTGATGCAGCGAAGGTTGGATTGGCCGGGCTCCGAGCGAGGGATTCGTGATTCATGGGTTCATGAGTTCCGGAGATTTGATAAGGATTGGCTGTGGGCCGGCATGCACAGGGGCTGCGGCTGAGGATTGGGTTGGAAGCAGAAGGCCAGTGTGAGTCTGAGTTCAGGTTTTGATTTTGCGGGTTTCTGTCCGAGCCCAGGTCTGGCCAATCTTCCCACCAGCGGCAGAGGACGAGGACCGGACAGTGCGGTGAGTCAGTGAGTGGGGGGCAGATTGGGCATTCGGATTCGGGTTACCACTTTTGCTGAGGACTGCAGGACTTTGGACCGGGCCTGGGTTAAAGGGTTTTGGCTTTCGGTTTCTTCAACTCTATTTAGGGCTTGTGGCATGTGGGCTTGGGCGGTTCTTTCTGAATGCGTTTATGGTAAAGGTTTATGTTTGGCCAGCGTTGGAACTTGTGGAACCAAATTGCGCTCACCCGTTCTGCTCAGATCAAGCCATCACAGCGCATCGGCCCATGGAGGTTTGAAGCCTTCGGCCACAGTCTTGGCTTAGATACAACCCGGTAACTTGTAACCCCTGCCTGGGCCCTTGGCCGGCCCATGACTCCAAACTGAGCCTAGGCCAATGACAGCTCTTGGCCTCTTGGCCCCCATGACTCCTGATTTTCTAGGCCAGTGACTTATTACTGTTACACTATCATTGTGGTTATAGGCTTACACGCATCTTCGTTCGCCACAGCCATGGGAGCCAAGAAGCAAAGAGGCGGCAAAGCGTCGAAGTTTGCCAGGTGGGTTCAAGCCTTCGGCCGGGCAGTTGCTCGGCATTACTGTTTGTAACAGTGTTTCTTGTTTTTGTGGTGTTTCCTAACTTGATTAAATGGGACACGGGCAGGTCTTAGGTCGGACACCTAGGCCTAGGTACTAGGTACTAGTTAATTTTAAGAATTTTGTTTTTTCAGCAGGCCATTGTCAAGTGGCGTGAGACCTTCGGGGATGAGCCAATCCCAGAGGCGAGAGAGGGCGATCCTCCCGATCCCGAAGAGCCTCCCAACAGGTACACTTCCCTGGCCAAAGCCAAGGCCAGGGCCTCTGCTGGCAGCCAGGCCCCTGTGACCCCTCCCAAGGCCGATGCCAAGGCTCCCCAACCCAAGGTGATTCGGCCCAAGTATCCCAAGGGGCAGAACCCCAAACACCCTCCGGCCTCTGTCAATCCCAAACGTGTTGCAGCGTCTGGTGCGAGAGCAAAGGCTTTGCCGGTGGTGGCGTCCTCTTCCGAAGATGAGGCTGGGGCCAATCAGGCCAATGACCCGCCAGAGCCACCACCAAAGGCCAATGCTGGGCCGAAGATGGCACCACCAAAGGCCATTCCTGGGGTTCGACCACCGGCCGATGATGGGGTTCGACCACCGGCCGATGATGTTCGACCACCGGCCGCTCCTGGGGTTCGACCACCGGCCGATGATGTTCGACCACCGGCCCATGTTCGACCACTGGCCGGTCCTGAGGTTCGACCGCCGGCCCATGCTACACCAGGTCTACCACGGGGGCCTGCACAGCCCTTCACGCCTTTCCCGGAAAGGCTTGCAAGGAGTCAAGCCATGGGCCTTTCTCCTGCGCCAGCAGTACCTTTACCTTTCCCCCAGGCTATGCGGCCCATGTCCATGCCGACAGATCCATTTGGGATTGGCCCCATGTTCCCTTCTGGGATGATGCCGCGGCCAGTGGAATCCCAGACTGCGACTATGCCTATGACAGCTTCTTCGAATACTGGTCCGGCCGATCCTGCTACATCTCACCATGGCTCTTGCACGGCGGCTTCTGCGCGACCTTCTCCTATGGCTCCTGGTGCTGTTCCGGCCAATCGTGGCCCATCTCCTGGCGGCTGTATTCCTTCTGGTGCTGGCTGTATTCCTACTCATGCTGGTCCGGCCGATTTTGGCCCGTGTCCTGGCGGCTGTATTCCTATGACTCCTGGGGCCCCCGGGCCATTGCCATTGCCGTTTGGCCTTCCGCCGGGGCCGCCCCAACCGATTCAAGTCCATCATCACTATTACCCTGCGGGATACAAGGTAGCCGGCCTGGTCTTAATGATTCCATTGTTTACTGAGTTGATTCGTGTTTGAGAGTTCCGGGGTCTGGTGTCTTGGGTCATGTCATGTAATTTGCACTGAACTGAGGCAGCAGAGACCCTCAACAAGGCCACGCAGAACACGCTGGAGCAGGTCAACCAGCTTCGCATAGAGGGCCATCGGCGGCAGGCGCAGGCCGATTTCACCCAGCGGCAGACCATGGCGATGATTGAAGAGGCTGGGGCCAAGGGCGTGGTGATCACGCAGGCCAGTCGTTAATCTTTTGCAGTTTCAGTTTCAGCATATTTTGGTTGTAAGTTAGCAGTTGTCATTGCTTACAACAACTTGTCACAACTGTCAACTTTGTCACAGGCTTTGTCAAGCTTATCTATATCAAACTAACCCAGAGAACCAAGTCCAAGGTCACTACTAAGATTAGAATGATATGCCTGTCAGTCAGGCCAGTGTGAATCCTTCGGCACCGGCCTCTCCGCTGGCCCCTCCCGCGGCCAATCCACCCTCACCATCTGCGGCCTCTGAGCTTCTGGCCGATGGGGGGGAGGAGGAGGAGGAGGAGGAGGCCCAGGAAGAGCCGGAGGTACCGTCCTCATCGGTCAAGGCCAAGAAGAAGTCCAAGTCCAAGAAGGCCGACAAGTCCGACAAGGCCGAGAAGAAGAAGAAGAAGAAGGGCCGGAAAAGGAGAAGGACGAGTGAAGAGGACGCTGACGACGAGTAGTCCGGCCAATCTTGGCCCATGTCCGCATGTCCTGGCTTTCCCCACGGCCCGTTTGGCCCTTCCTGTGAAAGGTTAAATATTCGGCCTA